TTTTGGAGTTATCAGAGCAGCAAAGCTTTGTGCTGTCGGGCAGGTCTGGCTGTTGACTCAACCAGCTGTTGGAGCAGGTTTTTCGTCTCCTTCTCCAGCTGAAATGTCAAACTGTCACTTGTTCATTTCTCTCAACTTTTTATTTGCATCAAAACAAAGTGTGAAATAAAGTGTTTATTCTATGAAGTGAAGAGCTGATTGCACTAAAATAGAAAATGTCCTGTTATGTTATTCCTCTATTAAATCTTTGACGTTTTAAGCTAATTTATAAATTTTGTTATCATTAATATTTTATGCTAAACCTCTATTATATTTGTCATTAAAGGTTTTATCTTGACATTTATATCGATATAAGGAAAAAAAATTTAACAGAAAGATTATCAAACACTTTCAGTTTTCCTTACAAAAAAATACATATATTTATAAAATTGGCATTTTGTGTAATTCTAATTTATTATAGTGTTAAAATATACGAGGAGACAGTTTTCATGTTAGATGCAGTTTCCAAAAGCCCACTGTCACAAGATCTTTTGCAATATGTGTGACCAACAACTGGTCCCCATAAGGAAAGTTTCTCTTCTTGGGGTGGGGGTTAGGTTTAGGACTAAGGTGTGAATTGAGTTTAGGTTAGGTTTAAGGATAGGTATGTGTCGGTAATGGTTAGGGTTAGGGCAAGGGTCATGGTTAGGCCATATAAATTAGTGGGAAATGAATGGAAGTCAATGGAAGGTCCCCACAAGGATATTGTGACACAACATGTGTGTGTGTGTGTGTGTGTGTGTGTGTGTGTGTGTGTGTGTGTGTGTGTGTGTGTGTGTGTGTGTGTGTGTGTGTGTGTGTGTGTGTGTGTGTGTGTATAATTATTACAATAGATAATTAAACCTTTAGTGTCTGGTTGGGCTGTAGAAACCTTAAATAATTTTACCTGATGAGAGTAAAATACAAATTACTCATAATGTTCTAATCACTGTTTGGTAGATATTTTACATTATTCATGCCACCTTAAAGATTATCACCTTTTCCTTTTTGACATTTTTTTTTACTACCACCCCTGCTGGACTGAGCATGGAGTTGTCAGGGTTTGGTGGAAGTTGGTTGAGGACCCAGTTGCAGGGATTTATTTAAATTCTAAATGGCAACAGAAGCACAAATCCCGGAACAAAATAACAAAACCAAAAACCAGGAGATGCCAGGGAGAAAAACCCACAGGGAGCAAAGCAAAGAAGAGAAACCAGCACTGATGAACTGCAAAGGTGGATTAAATATAGGAAGCAGAACCAAGAGTGGAGTAATCAGTTAATTGGGAGCAGGTGTGGACAGAAGCAGCTAGAAAGGAGCCAAGGGGGAAAGGAAACTGGCACTAGGGGGCAACAGAGAGTAACATAAAAACACATCATTGCCAGAAAACAAATACAAAGACACAAAATTAACAGTGAAATTAAAAAGAAACCTAAACAACGGAGCAGAACCCTGACAGGAGCCAAGTTATCTTCACAACTTCCTCATATGTCATTAAGGATATTTAATTTTTGGTCTTTCAGAGCAACGGAAATGTGTCACATAACTATCCAGGAATTTCATTCTCCAAGGTAAAAGGTAAAGAATGACAACACCAGGAGCTTAATATCCTGGGGTTGTCAGTGGAAAAAGGGGCTATTTCTCTCGTTGTTTTCTAAATCCATTTATGGCTGTGGTCACCTTGCATCAGAAGGTGAAATTGAAGCTTGTGTTGCAGATGGAATTTAAACAAAGATGTGAGCACTGTGTTGCAAGAAGACCTGAAATAACCAGAACTGTTTAAGGAACTGTAGCTTAAGCAAACTGGATGGCTGAAGCAGAGAAGAGTTGGTTTCCCCTGCTCTGTCTTGCTAAATGTTGTGTAAACAGTGTTTATGCTGCTGATTCAGGGTTAGAAGTCCAACTTTTAAAATAAAAGTTCAGTTTACCCCTCACACCGAGGTCACGCAAGAAGTGTTTTTACTAACAAATTTGTTTGTATGTGTGATCTAAGCTAAAATGGTGCACTCACCATTTTCTCATATTGCTAATCTTCTCTCAGGTACGGACACAATTTACAAGTTCTCCAGACTTGAGGTAGGAGTCTTACACAATCAGGCAGCTGTTATCCAAACCTGGTTTTTCACCACTGACTTAGAGACAATTGTTTAATCTATTAGTCTACATCATTACATCATATGAAACTCTTTGATTATAAATGACATTTCTATTTGCTGATGACAAAACCAGCAGTCACTACACCTGCAGATGGCATGTCGGCAGGGGCGGATTAAGTTAATTTGGGGCCCTAGGCAAAGACAAGCAGGGGGCCCTCTGAATTGAGAAGACACCATGTGCTGTGTGTTTCCTGGACGGGGCCGCCTTTTACAGCTGCTTTTTGTGTCTCTGCTTCTGTGTCCTTGAACTCCAGTCGGCCTCAGCAGATGGCCGCTCACACTGAGCCTGGTTCTGCTGGAGGTTTCTTCCTGTTAAAAGGGAGTTTTTCCTCTCCACTGTTGCTACAAGCATGCTTAGTGTGAGGGATTGCTGAAGAGTCAAGGAGTCGATGCAATCAGCTGGTTTTCCTTAGATAGAAAACTTTGTATCAATTTGATTGTATGATCTGGTTGAACTGTAAAGTGCCTTGAGGTGACATGTGTTGTGAATTTGGCGCTATATAAATAAACTGAATTGAACATATAAAACAGACCCATTATACAGATAAATTTCAGTACATACATTATTTGTTCTACGTTTTTCATCCCTCTTCTTGTTGTTTTCCTCTGTATGTTTTGTACTCAGCTGACTTTTTCCAAGCACTAAGCTCACTTAGCTGATTGCTCCTTCCTGTGTTTCCAAAAAGGCCAAAGTAAATAACCCAGTCCTTCTTTTCACTGTAGACAAGCCATGATCTGCTTATCTGTTCTCCATTTTTCATTTGGATGAAATAATAGCTGCATGAATCATGACAGCAGACAAGATAGAGGAGAGCAGGAGGCGGGGTTACCAATCTACTCGCTCTGGAGAGTAGAGTTCGCTGCTTTTAGATGTTGTCTCCAAAGTCTCCAGTAGCAGAAAAAAGTCTCTAGATTTGGCGCTAGGAGCTTTTTAGAAATCAAATTCCTAGAGGGGTCTAAAAAAGTTGCTAAATATAGGAACAAAAAACACTAATTTAGCAACAATGCTCTTTGTGTGCTGATCGCATTTTAGCAAAAGGATTTTTATCAAAAACATAATTAATGTGCACAAATAAGGAATAGTTGTATTAACCATACATGGAACAGAGCTTTATGGGGCCCCCAGGAACTTGGGGGCTTAGGCAACTGCCTAGTATTGCCTAATGGTAAATCTCTCCCTGCATGTCGGTATCCAGGGGACTCTGGCTTATTATGTTGTAAAAAAAAAAAGAAGAGTTATTGAGCTCTGTGTGAGATCAAGCTAATTTTGAAATAAGATCTTGAACAGAAAATTCATAGGAAGTTCAAAATAAAGTTTAGCAACTTGCTGTTAAAACTCCTCTAACGATAAGATTCATTTCACTCCATCGCAGCTTCTTGGCTTTGTTATTTCATAAAATGTTAAATGTTTCAGTTTGGGTCTGTCTGAGTTTTGTCCAATTAGAGTTTTGCTCCTAACATTTTTGACGTTTATGTTGTAAAAAAGATGTTAAGAATGCTGTGAAGGGATGATGGACATGGTCGGAGATGTGCATGCATGTCTATCAAAAGAAGATTTTGCAAAATGTTGTCAGGTTGGTGGATGGAGACCTCATATTAAGAATTTAGATCATATGTTGCACCTCTTTCCTCCACCAGTAGTTTTCATTATTTTTTTTTATTTTCTATTTTATTTTTACTTCCGTAACAGTGCAACCACAGCATTTAAAGCTCTTGTGATTCATTCCCCCCTACTTGGCTTTGACTAGTCCTTTAATTCTGCTGCTCAGCTCTCAGTCAGCAGTACCTTGATCTCCAAACTACTAATGTCTCCTTTATTGGTCTCGAAATGCCTTTTCTGTGAAAGCACACCTTCTGACAGCGTGTGAAGTTATAGCCTTATATGGCATTATTGAGCTGGTAAATCTGCAGATTTACATTTCTCTGGAATTTTCAAGTTAATAATTTTCTTTTATTCTTATGCGGGGCGTTGCTAAGAGCCAACAGAAGCAGAAAAAGTGTGAGAAATTTATGACTGAAAAAGAAACGTGTTGCTGCATGAGGCCCAGTGATTCAGAAGACACGAATACAAATCACTAACCTGACTCCGACAGATGGATTTGCTCCGCATATCCATCTGGAAATCTTCCGTTGAAGTAATTTTGGGAAGGGGCGAAAATACTGGTTAGCTGATTGGCCTATGTTGGTGATAGACGGGCCAAATAAACCAATCAGATCAACGAAGCATATGACGTAGTAACAGAGCACGACGAAAACACAACCACAAGCCAGGCTACTCTTGCCGAAACCAGTCGGGAGAAGAGCAAAAACATCTTTTCCTCTGAGAAAAGCCTCCAGAGCAGTGTTTTGCTCTTCTTTCTGTGAAGAAATACTCTGTAATTCCGATAAAACTTGCTTGATAGCCACGCTAACGCTAGTTTCATCGGCTGACGCCGCCATGTTCTTTAGACTGAACTGTCGCGCTTCTCGTTGCGTCACACCTCAACCCGCCTCAAAGCCAACGCTGATTGGACGTTCGTTTGGTGAACGGCTCCAAATTTTGTTCAACGGAGAGTCTCCAGACTGATTAGCGAGTGAAATCTTGAAAGCTCGCGAGATCAGGATGGTCTCACGAGGCTAGCAAATCACACCACAACAACACAGCAATGGTTATCTCTCACCGTTATCTCTCAAAATTAAAAATGTCATCATGCTACTGAAAACCAGTCTCATTCTGTGGAATCCTGAAGTCTATAAGGATGTTTAACTTCCTCTTTATATTATTAGCCTTGTAAACATTTCATAATGTCTTTTTAACCAGGATTTCCTTCTCTTTTTGTTTTTAAGCTTTCCAAAGAACTTGGATGGAAAAGATGCACTTGCAGTGCACAGCCAAGATGCTACCAAATGAAACCACATTACCAGGTACCACATTAATAAAACTGTTGGTCACAAGGTTATTACTGTAACTTTCTGTCTGGATTTTTGATAGTGTTGCACCGACACCGATATCAGTATTTTGCGGGGACCCGATCCAGCACTAAAATGGTGGTATCAGTATCAGCAGGTACCAACAAATAGGGCACTGATACCATTCAGCTATTGTCACCCATTCCAGGTAGGAAATAAAAAGTTCTACTGGATTCACTTTGTTTTAGTCTTTGTCCTGCTTGACAAAGGTAGGGAGCAGCTTGACAAAGCCATGATATGCTGGAAAACTCTCACCAAGTGCTTGAATAATCTGGCATTGAGAACTGGTAGAAGGCGGGTTAAATAAAGGCTGCATCAGGTGGTCAGATGAACATTATGATAAACTGGGCGGAGCTAGGCAGGTGAGTGAAATGAGTAATCAGGCCAGTCATCATCACCAAGATCATGACAGAAAATGCATAGTTAAAATCCTTAAAGATGAAAATGTTAAACATTATAAAAGAAATTGCTTGAATTTCAGAGCTGGAATTGTCATGATGGGTTCACTAAAAGCGACCCAAGTATGCAGAACACCACTGACGGACACAGGGATGAAAGTTTAACAAGTTTATTTTGCTCAAGCACACAGAATGTACTGGTTCGGGTTCGGGGCCTGGATACTGGTTCACCGGAGTCTGCGTGAGAGACAGTTCAGTTAGCGTTGCCAACAGAGGTTTGATTTCCTGAAGCCTACTGATTGTACCTTGAGGGTTCTTGAGGTTTAGCTTTGGGAGAGTCTCTGTTGGATCTGGAGAGGGGTTCATCAGCAGAGTCCGCTAGCTGCTTCAGCGTCTCACTTCTACTAATGCACAGACCTTGGCTTTAGGTTTTCCAGCTCTTAGCCCTGAGCTGCTTGGAGGTTCTCTAGGATTCTTCAGGTTTGGCTCAGAGGGTCGGCTCGGCAGGTTAGCTCTTCCTGAGCTTCTCAGAGGAGACACTGGTTTCCTGGAAGACAGAGACAATGGTTAGAATCCAGGCTGGATTCAAAGTCAAAAGTTTCACTGAGGATCTAGGCTTAGGCGCTGACCAACTGGAACAACACTGCGGCGTTGAGGCAAGGTCTGAAGACAGCTTAAGTAGTGGATCCTCTGATGATCTTGATGAACTGCAGCTGTGCAGGAGGCTTCCTCAGATGATCCACGGCGGACTCTGCTGGAGAAAGGTGGAACTTCTCCAGCTCCCAACAGGAATGAGATCTAAAATGTTACATATGTCGTCCACAACAAGATTAGTGAGTTTGACAGGCCAACAATGAGTTATACCCAAGGCCCAATACCCAAGTTCTAACTCTTACTGTTCAAAGGGAGTTTTCCTCTCCACTGTCGCTACAAGCATGCTTGGGATGTGTGGGACTGGGTCAATGAGTCAATGAGTTGATGCCATTAACTGGTTTTCCTTAAATAGAAAACTTTGAACCAATCTGACTGGATGATCTGGTTAAAATGTCTCTGTAAAGCGCCTTTTTACATAACAAATAAGATACAAAAAACAAACATGTGAGATTTATAATACTATGTTACTGGGTATGCAATTCGTTTGTGCAGCTATAAAGGGGCGGGGGTAAAGCGGTTAAGAGATTTCTAAAATCTTAAATGCCTGGAGAAATAATATAACAAATAAAACTGAAGTAGAATAAAATTTTTACAGCAGGCCTTGCTTGATAAAAGTTTGATACACTTTTACATAAAGTGATGTAATCAGAATTTGAAAATACATTTTCGATAAGCAGCTTAACTTTCCATGGTGCTGAAATTGGTTAATCATCTGAAAAAGTGTGACAAAAAAGCAAGAGCAGACGAAGCATGTAAAAAATAAAACAGACTTTATGATTTCCTTTGTAAAACCAATTAATTAGTAATTAAGCTTGGATAATTATCAAAAACAGTGAGAACAGTGACCATGCACAGCATGATGTGGTTACAGCTAATGAAGGAGAACTCAGCCTCTCGGCAAAGACCTTCTGTATGAACATTTCGCTGATGTGGAAAATAAGAAAAAGCAGCGAGATACTAAACATTATGTGATAAAACACTGTAATGGTAAATAGTTTCTTCCACAACATTAATTCTATGTAATATATACAGTATTTTGGCCTTTTATGTACTTCAATGATCACATAAAAATAAAAGGAGAAAAGATCTCACAACCTCCACATGTGTGTTTTAGGTGCTGGGAGGGTTACGCTCTTCCTGGAGTCTGTTTAATATTTTATCAACTGAAATGAGAAGCAATCCGGTCCACTCAGAATTGGCTTTGCTATGATCAAAAGCATCAGAGCAAAAAAACTAAATTCCAATATTTCCTCTATAAATGATGAAACTCATCATTTGTCTCCCCTATCCTCTGTTCAGGAGCTGGGCTTTAGATGCAGGTTGTCTTCAGATCAGTGGGAATTAAACAGGTGAGTTGATGCCAGATATCTGAGTGACACCTCTGCCTTTTTTTTTTTTTTTTTTGATAATGTATTTTATATGATAATGTCGGTGGGGATCTGTCAATCTGAATTATCCTCATTTGTTTCCAGAAAGCTTCTCTCCAAAAATGCTTTGTGCTCCAAAGTGGAACCAGCTTAGCCACAGCAGCTTTCACGCCCTGCCAACGAGCTGATCTGGAAAGAACACGTCGATCTCCTCTGTTAAACCTTTCTGTTAGAACCAGGGGAGAGAAGCCATCTTGACAAAAAGAAACAATTCTTCTAGAGGAGAAATAAAGTGTTTGTGTGGTGCACATTCACGGCCTGCTGCTTCCTCATTTGAGGGGAAATCCACTCCCCCGCTCTCTGGGACTCTAAAACATGATGCTTGGATTGTTGTAATGTTGATTTCTCCCTTTACATTGCTTCTCATGCACATCTAATAATAACTGCATTGTGTACAGGAACAACTGAGCTCCTATGCAATTAAAGCTGATTTCCATCTCTTCTATGAGCCATTTCATTTTCTTCTATTTTCTGTCTGACTGAACAAATAACTGACTCAAAGTTTACGCTTGGGTTTTATTAGGACCCTTTTCTACTGATGATCTGCAGAGCTAGCAACTAAACTTTTTTTTGAAAAGATGGATGAGCCTTTGATTGGGGGTCTTGCATCCTCCCTATTAGCGGCTCTTTGTCATCAGGACAACTATGTACAGAGTGTCTGTACCTGCAGGAGGCAGGGACCTAATGAGAATGATGTGTGCCTAGGACCGCCGGCTCTGCCAGGCATGCACTCTATCTGCTTGTGTAATCAAAGCGTTGGAGCACACAAATATCTGCCGATAGCAGCAGCACTCTCCATTCTCGCTGTTGTCTCCTGCCCCGATGAGCCTGTCTGACTCAAATTACTAGGTGAGAGCGGGATTTCTGTTCGCTCGGCAAAGCAGAGCAGCTCGGGTAATAACACTCTGGCAGACCATGGGAGTTAATCTAATGACGGGGGACAGAGCTACGGTTCTTAATGGGCACAGAGAGATGCATAAGGATAGGGCACTGAGGGTGACTCGAATAAACAGTCCTCTTTTCTTTGCCCTGCAGATTTGATCATGTCTGTGATACACTCTAAGATCAAGGCTGGAAAAAAACTTGAAACAGAAAAAAACAACCAAAAGAAGTTGAATAAGTTCCTAACATTTGAAATAACGTTGTATATTTGGACATCATTAATGTGTCTTGTCTTCAGGGGATCATGCATCCTACAATAATCGTCTGCAGCCTTTGTTTTTTTTTTTTATGTATTTTGCATACAAGAAAGAGGAAATGGTTTCAGTCATATTCAAGTATTTAAGCAATGTTCACTCTAAAAATGCATTAAAAAACAGATCTTAATAAAACTCTATAGAAGAAAAGTTTTTTCTCTCAGTTTAAATAATTCAGTCTATTTAGAAAGTGTCAATTTATTTTTTAGCCAATCTAAGGAAAACCAGCTGATTACGTCCAGCCTTTGCTTGGCAGTATTTGCCTCTCCTGGATGAGCTTGTGGAAACAGTAGATATTCGCATTGTGTTGCTGACTTTGCAGCAATAGCTCACACAAGCATGCATGCAGCGACAATGGAGAGTTCAATCTGGAAAACTCAGATGAAGAGAAAAGACAATTAGAAGAAATGTATTGATACCAATACTTGGTCTTTGGCACTCAGACCTCGGTGTCATGATTTTACAAAGTTCAGACCCAAATGCAGAAAACCCAACAGAGAGACCAGGAAAACGTTTTAACAGGTTTTATTGAAGAGGTTAAACAGAGGGAGAAGTGTTGCTCTGAACACTGCTCAACCAGAACTGAAAAGTGAGGGGAAGACACAGCGGTTAGTTCAGGCTCAGTGGGGAATTTGACTCGTGAACTAGGAGAAGAGGATTTGGTTGCTGACTCACGTTTCCAGAGAAGTTGTTGAATCCTTGACTCCCGTCTGTGTGCTGTGGTTCCAGTGTTTGTCTGATTCGGTGGAGGGCGGAACAGGGTTTACCCAGAATGCGGTTGTTCGTTGGTGAAACTGACTGCAACTCAGATTTCCTGCGGTACTTGAACGGGTCATAGTTGAGATGAATCCCTTTCTCAGTGCGAAGCTCAAACAATCTCTTGGGGAAAGTGGATCCAAACCTCCTGTTTGAACCCAAGCTCAGTTTGAAGCTCAGTTGATCCTTCCAGGTAGAGAATGTCCGAAAAATCCAGCTTGCAGGATGACTTCCTGCCGAGAGGCAAAGACAAAAACAAAGTTGAACTCAGGTTGACAAAAACTCAGTTTGACTCAGCAAAACTCTGCTTGGCTAGAGTACCCAATACTGGCAAACACTCTGGCCTCGATGTAGTGGCAGTGCATATCCAAATAAACCACCTGCCACAGTGTACACAGCTACATCTGCCTACTGCCTTTTTGAGCCACTTTGGCCAGTCTATCTCACAAGAGGAAAAACAGCAAGACACTTCCAACAAAACCAGACTCAGGGCGAACGGTCTTCAACCGACTGGAGTTCAGAAGTTGGTTCACAAAAGGAACATAGAAGCCCTGATCAATAAGTCATCTGATGTTAGAAAAGGAAACTGTAAACTAGCTCAATAGGTCACTCTACTCATTTAAGCCGACAAGCTCTGAGCTGCTTTTTGTCCCAAAAGGGATGAGAGAGGCACATACCCCCCGAACACCAGGCGTCATTTAGACGTTGGTTTTTAGGATAAATCTGATTGGTCCGTCATACAAAAATCATTGTTAAAAATTAGCCACACCGTAAAAGTTTAAAAAACAATCCACTGGACTTGGTTTACAAGATTTAAAGACTTTTTCGCGAAACGTCTTTAAATCTTGGAAACCAGTGGATTGTTTTTTAAACTTTTACGGAATGACTATGACCTGGATGATTGAGAATCTTCATCACAAAATTAGGCACAATTTTGAAGGAAAAGTCCTGTCAGCAAGGAATAATAAATGGATCATTATCTACAACTAAAACTAGTAAGTTTGCAGTGATGTAATGAATTTAGCGTTAATCAGTAAAAAAATCAAAACAATAATTTTTGTCGTGATCGCTGAGTCTGGGAGCGGCCATTTTTGCCCAAATATAGTAGCCCCTCCCTCCTGCCATCTTCCAGCAGTGACGTCACGGTGCGGTAAGCCTAGCGCCATTCTCCCCGCTTTACAAGCTAAATCAATGGGAACTACTAGACACATCTGCAATCAACAACAATTATTGAAGATTTCCAGAGGACTTCACCATTGAAATTCACCAGAGCTATAGTGAAACTGACAATGCCCACGTGCATGGCAGCTGGATGCTGGAATACATCGGGTAAAAGTGAAAAAAAAGAGTTATTCCACCTTTCTGATTCCTGATCCTCCACGGACGGGTTGGTCGTTGGATCGCCAACTTGAAGAGGGAGGATTTGCCATCGAACTTCTGGCCAGAGAAAAAACCCGTAATATGTAGCCAACATTTGGAAGAAGAATGTTTTCAAGATGACTTGGATAATAGCGCGTTGTGACAAACACCAGATACAGCACTGGGACTTGATCAACAGCCGATAGGTGTTGATGGCAGTAGTGTTCTTTGACAAACATGGATGCCTCCAGTAAAGCACATTCACATGAAAATGACTTATTATTTGTAATAATTATGTAATAATTTTATATTTAAATACTTTCAGACAGACAGAATTAGGGAAAAAACTTTATCCTTAAATCTGGAGATTGATTGTCTAAAATAGAAATAGCACCATTGCTGATTGTCTTTGGAAATGTTTATCACATCTTTGTGAAGTTGAGAGAGAGGATGTTCTTCTGGCATTTCCTCATTTTACCCAATCTTCATTTAAGCTTTTATGTTAGTGAGAACACCTTTAAAGGTTCTCCTGCAGCTGGAATCCACACAGCAGTGAAAGGACGTTTTTTAAAAAGCAGCAGGTTTACACAGCAGCTATTTGTGATTCGCTGCTAATACAGAAAAACTCTGACAGGATGTCACTCAGAAACAACAGTCTCTATAACTCTAGTCCAGCCACCTACGTGCAAACACCCACCAGCTCTCTGTTCCGCCACAGCTTAATGGGATGTAGTTTTGTCAGTGGGCTTGAGTGTGTTGGAGGGGATTCATGAGAGTCCTGAGTTATCCTCTCAAACAGCATGATATGTTTGTTCTCTGCTTTCATTACCATCAGGATGCCTCATGAGAAAATGGGCAGCAATCCACAGGGGAGCTCTTTCTCATCATTGTCTAAGTGTGGTGAGAGTTGACCTGGTAGTTGACTCTATAATGAAGGAAATTAGATGATGGGAAACCATAACAGTAGGTTGTCTGTATCCAAAAATAACTCCAACAGCCTGATAATGACTTGAATCAAGGGCAAGACCCAACAGATGAGGATGTTTTAAATCTTAATTGTGATGCTGAGTAAAATAATTTCCCAGTGATCTATTTAAAGGAAAAGTCCGGTCTCATTCAGAATACAAACTTCTGAAAGTACTTGAAGTATGAAATTATTCCATACTTTACAATAAATAAGTGTTTTTACTTAAGAGTAATTTTCAGTTCAATGTGCTTTACTGGAAGCATCCATGTTTGTCAAAGAACACTGCTGCCACCTACTGGTTTGTGGCGTCCTGGTGCGGTATCGGCTGTTGATCAAGTCCGAATTCTGTATAAACATGTTTTTTCACCTTTCCGATTCATGATCCTCCACGGACGGGTTTGTCACTGGATTGCAACCTTTAAGAGAGAGGATTTGCCAGCGTCTGTTGAGCTGCTTCAGCTCAGCAAAATGCAGGTTGGAAGATGACAAGGAAGTTAAAGGATTAAAGCTTTTTCCTCTCCACTATCGCAGCATGCCTTCTCGGTGTGAGGGATGCTACAAAGTCAACAAAACAATGCAAGCAAATCCTGCTCATCTAGGAGGAGAGAATCAATGGTTTCATGCATGCAGCGGCTTTTGCTTAAATGGAAATCTTTTAACCAGTCTGATTGCGTGATCTGCTTGAATTATATATATTATTATATATTTTTTTAAAGACCTTGAGATACAACCAGTTGTGAATTGGTGCTATATAAATATGTAAAATCACAGCCCAAACTAGCTCAGGAAATCAAAGTGAATCAACTAAAACACTGCAAAGGGGTGACAAAATATAGAAAAGCTGATATTAAATATAATTTCTTGATGCACTGGTCCTCCATCTGTGGCAATAACTGCTTTATTATGTAAAGGTCGTACATGCGGCCTAAAGAAATTTAATCCATTTCATAAGCAGAAGCTGTTCTTGCTCTTTCAGAGATAATGGTGAGAGGCAGAGACTATTTATTTCTTTATGCAAAACACCTTGGACTTGTCTGTCAGTCTGGTGCTCTGCAAGATTATTGTTGTTGATTTTATATGGTTTTAGGTATTTGTCCTGAAAATACACATAAATACTTAGGTTTTTAATACGAGATATTTTTCAGCTGAAATAGACAAATAGTGTTA